ACTTGCGTAAGGGTTGATACCACGGTTCTGGGATGGCACTTGGCCGGGGAATCCACTAGCAAAATTCTGGCATCGGAGCTTGCTTAGTTGCTGAATTGAAATACCCGGGCAGACGAACACACACACACACATATAAACATACACACAAACATACACAGGGTCATCGCAATATGCGTTTTTGCAATTTGCATATAAACAAAAACGCATAAAAACCGAAAATCATGCACGCTAAAGGCCCATGCAGCTCCATAATGCAACATCATTCCCACTGACTCCCTTCCCCTCTGCGTGCAGAATGAGGTCAAAATACAACCAATGTATGTCCAGGTGTTAAACTACAGTGTAAGGACCATTCCTTCTGTTAGCCATCTGCAACTTTAGCGCAAAAACGCATGATCGCACCGGCAAGTCTGGTGCATTCCAGCCGGGGTTATATGTTTCATCTCACTTTGTCAGCCACGTTCTCACTAGCGAATGTCGGCAGCAGGTGGTATAATTTGCTAAATTGTGGAATGATTTGACATTTCGAGATGCAGTGATTGCGTGCAAAAATTTTCTCTGATTCCAAAATGTACCTAGCTTGCTGAGGCTTCCGGTGCTCGTGATACGGCTGATAACCGTGGGACAAACTGTTTTTTCGAAGTTTTCTCACTTCACATAAAACGTAAAATTCCTGTGGCTTGAAGGAAAGGTGGCATTTAAATTTGTTGCTCCTTGGCTTAAATGGCGCTCTTTATATCAAAGCTGCCTCTTTGTTGTTTTTACGTTCAGCATAGTGTCTAAGTGTTTGAATCCTTGACTTAATTTGTGTATTACTGTAAAAAAAAGCGCCTTCCAAGTAAATTTAACATCTCATTCGCTCTGTCTGGCTCTTTCGCAGCTAAAATTTTCGTAGCTCCTCGCTAATTTTGACGAAGGTTTTCCAATCAGCTCGCTACCGATGCAAATTTCATAAATGCAAATTTTAGGAATATTTCTGGTTTGCTGGGTGCCGTTTTTCTCAGTGTATATCGTAAGTGCGGTGTGTATCAAACTAA